TGTTCACCCAGCCCTGCACCTTGTTGTCCCTCTTCTTTGATCTCTTTTTTAAAATACTTTCAGTGATCTAGCCTTTTATGCCTCTCAGGAGAAAAGAAATTCCTTCACATCTCGGTTTTAAATAGCATTTCCTTATTCTGTAACTGTGTCCCTTAGCTCAATATTCAAGAAGATAAAGACTTACAAACTCTCTCACAAGTGTCAGAGAGATAATTAAGAAGACGTTTGTCTAACAAGTTCCTTAAAAACAAACTGACTGCGAGCTCAAACGCACCTTGGTTGATATTTCTGCCATCAGGTTTCGCAGGTTGGGATCTACAAATTCTACAGGATCGCCTTCAAACTCAATTTTCCCGAGGATTGTTCCCTGTGAAGAATTTTATGAAATGCATGAAGGAACAAAAAGGTGAACAGAATTTGTTGTGTAGAAATACAAAACAGTCAACAGACTGGTTACCTTATCACGGACAATCTTTGTGAGCATTCTGGTGTCAATTCCATAAAGAGCTGGGATCTGTACAAAACAAAAATACATTCAAATACCCAGATTTGTCTCCAAAGCATATGCCCAAGCTTCATTTCTTTCCCAAATCCACCTCTTCCCCACCAGAGAGTAATGTTGAAATGCAATTTTGTAGTTACACTGTGATCTGAATTATTCAGATCTCTCAGCTGTTCAAGAGATGCGCAATATCTCAAGGAGTGCAGCCACAGTGCTTCAACTATACACAGGCCTGAACTTCAGGCGTCTGATCACTAGGTAGCTATTTAAAGCAGGCCCTGATACAGTCACAATGGATAGGGCCCTCAGACTATGAAATCTCCGGCTTTTAGATTTGGCAGTACTTTAGACATCGCTTAAACAGAGAAAGGCTGCAGAATTCCTAGGTGCAGAGGGGCCTAAGTGTTCCAGTGCATGAGTCACAAAAAGATAGCATGTAGGTATAGAAAACAATCAAAAAAGCTAATGGGAAGCTACCCATTATTATTAGAGGGATTGAATACAAAAGCAAGGATGCTATGCCTCAGTAACACAGAGCACATCTCAAATACTATATTCAGTTTTGGTCTCCTTATTTAAGGAGATACCTGGAATGAACAGGTTGTCTTATGAGAAAAGATTGGAGAAGCTGAGCTTGTTTCCCCTGAGCTCAGAAACATAGGGGTGACTTGACTGAAGTGTATAATATCCTGAATGATCTTGACAAGGTGTACATGGAAAGAATGTCTCCTCTTGTGAATCAGTCCTGAATTTGTGAGCACCGTTTTAAAATGGAGGGGGTGGTGGTGGTGGTGGTGGTGGGTGGGGGAATCACCCTCTCAGTCCAGAAATGAGAATTTTTTTTATCTCCGGGAGCGTTGAGACATCTTGCCTCTGAAGGCAGTGGAGGCATAAGTCATTGAATATATCTAAGATAGAGAAAAATAGACTTTTGTCAGGCAGGTAAATCAAAGGTAATTTGGAGTAGATAGGAATGTGGAATTCAAAGCATAAACAAGTCACCCGTGATCTTAATGAATGGTGGAGGGCTCAAATGGTCGACTTCTGCTTACAGTTTGTATGACACAATCTTCTCTCCAGCTCACTGTCCAAATGATTTGGATAGAGATGGTGTGCAGGGACATGGGGAAAAGGCAAAAAATTAGCAATAGATAAGTGAACAAATGCAGACACGATGGGCCAAATGGCTTCTTTCTGCAGTGTTACAATTCTGTGATTCAATCCACAGAGTCTCATTTAAGTTCAAACAAACAACACTTCAGCTACAAAACATGGCTCCATTGCTTGGAAGCCAAGGGACAAAGGAAGAAATTCGCCAATCCTGTTCCTGATTCCAATCCTGTGGCGAGTAAAGGGAAAAGGAGAGGAATCCAGCAGCATTCCTGCTCCTGATAACACTGGAAGGCTTGGTTTGTTTCCACAGAGCAAGGACAGGTCTTGTAATGATAATCGAGGCCCTGCACAACTTGGCATTCACACAATTTCCTGCAGGACAACCAGAGCTTGAGTAGAGTGACTGTCTGCCCCATATAGCAGGAGTGGCATGCTGACCACTGCTAACTTCATCAACAACCTCTTGATAAATAAAGGGACACACAGGGGCAGCACGGTGGCTCAGCGATTAGCACTGCTGCCTCACAGCACCAGGAAATGGGGTTTGATTCCGGCCTTTGGTAACTGTCTGTATCTGCACATTCTCTCTGTGCCTGCAGGGGTTTCCTCCCACATGTGCAAAGATGTGCAGATTAGGTGGACTGGCATGCTAAATTGCCCTTAGTATTCCAGGGATGTACAGGCTAAGTGGTTATCCATGGGAAATGTAGGGTTACTGGGTCAGAGTAGGGTCTGAGTGGGATGCTCTTTGGAGGGTCGCTGTGTTCTCAATGGGCCGAGTGGCCTTGCTTCCACTGTAGGGATTCTATGATAACAATGAAACAAAAAAAAATTCCTCTTCCACAGGGAGGATCTCATGTTGCACTGGGTCTCCTGGCCAGCCATAACCAGGCGGCAACTGCATCCCCACAATCTCCTCAATATTAAAAGACTCCAGGCTCTTGCCATGAGCAAGTGTCATCCACAGAGACAAACACACATACACAGACACGCATTCAGGCATGGAACTAAGAGAGATCATGGCTATGTCTACACAAATCGCTAGAAGTGGCAGGGCAAGAAGTTTAAAGAGAACCTTTATAAATAAACCAGTGGGAAGCAAAGCAAAGACATTCTGATGAAACTGTACAACAAACAGCTGGCCCACACTCAGCTCAAGTGTTATGTATGGTTCTGGGCACCATCCTTTAGGAAGGATGTGAAGGGGTTAGAGGGAGGCCCCCAAAGACACAGGGACGGCTCTCAGATCAGTGAATCGACTAGAGACGCTTTTACTGTACCCTTAAGAGAAGTATTGGGGGTTTTTGTTAGAACTTCTCAAAATCAGGAAGGGTCTGAGCAGAGCTGTTGCCTGAAGCAGAAGAGGCATGAACTAGGGAGCACAAATTTAAGATGATTGGCAAAAGGGTCAGAAGAAACCTTGTTTTTGAAGCAGGGAGGGGTTATGATCAGGAATACACTGCCTCAGAGTGTGCTGGAGGTGGTTTCAATTGAGGCTTCCGTTGGAACCGGATGAACACCTAAAAGTAAAATCTCTGCAGGGTTTTTGGGAAAGGGCAAGAGTGATAGTGGATTTGATGAGTTGCTTGGACAGAGTGCTGGCTCTGATTCAACAGCCATTCTGTAATTCTGGGTTAGGCTATGGACTCTAGGAATACAGCCTGAGTTTATCACTGGTTAATAAGAAAATGCACTTGTCCTCATAACTAGCTCCCATTGCACACCAGAGATGGGAGCAAACTCTCCACACTCCAATGAACACACTACCTTAAAGAAAATTCTCCCCTCCCTTCACTCTTTTGCTGAGGATCTTACATCCGTGACACCAGCCACAAACTCAACTACCAGCGGAAGAAAAGCCTCAAAGAGAGAGCACAAGAGGGAGTGTGCAAGAGGGAGTATGCAAGAGAGAGAGAGAAAAAAAGAGAGATGGTGGAGAGGAATCAAACTGTACCTTTTCTTCATGTAACCACTCGCCCAGGGATTTAACAGAGTTCCAGTGGCTATAGTCATGGCTGTAATCCTGCACCAGTAATCCAGAAACCTGAAAAGAACAGCACAAGAGATTATTCAAAACATCTGGCCCTAACCCTAACCCTATCTCAGCCAGGATAGAAACCTTGCCTCTGCTATTGGTGTTACCCTGAGCCATAATCTTGGATTCAAAGACCAGGCTGTCCTGAGGCATGTCTGCATTACATAAATGCACTCTGAAGGCCAGAAATATGATGCAGCACAACTTTTGGGAAACTAACTGCAACAAGCATGAATCATCACCAGCAGCACAGCACAGGAATCCCTCGCTCTTGGTATGCTTCTGACTACTGGTGATATGAGTTCCATGTCTCAGACATGGTCCATGTGAGAACAATACCATCTCCAACTCCGCCATGAATACTGTCACTCATCCTCAAAATCTTTCCAGTCTACACTGAACGCTCTCTCTACCATTCCTCCATTATATAAAACCATTCAATAACTCAAGCATGATTTTAACATGAAAGAATTTCCTTTTAATTGCAAAGAAATGGAACTTGATCAAATGCTTCAACACGTCATTATTAATGTGGTTAGCAGATCAATGAACCTGCCAAATTACCAGGTCCCCATCCCCATCCTGACAATTACCTGGATAAATTCAGATTCCACATATTTCATTAGACCCAATTCGTCCAATTTTTTCGTATCTGGCACCCCATAGTTCCCTGCCATGGGGGACGTGAGAGCTAGGATCTGTCCTCTGTAGCTTGGGTCTGTCAAGGTTTCAGGATAGCTAAAATATAAACAAAAAGCTCTAAATTTAACACAACAGAGAACAAACCTCAAGGTCATGAACATTTTAAGTATTTCAAAGAGTGATTTCAAATGAGCGCTATTTGTTGACACAAAGTAAGATCCCATGCAATAGTGAACTAAACCATTTATCTGTCTGTTGGCAATGGAAGAATGTTCATCTAGATACTAAAACTTTATTATAAAAGCTATACCAGACTGCAGGTAACTGACGTATGAATGATGAGAAAGTTGTCAGACCATCACTGACAAACTAATGTTTTGTGAAAATCATACCACCAAGACACTGCTCTGACACTTTCAGTAATATACTGTGCAATGTAATGTTAGGACATATCTGTATCCACCTCGGCTGCTCCTGTTCTGAACCAATAGCCTGTTGCGAAAATAGATTTGTGTTTAGCAAGAACTCACCTTTGGCTACACTGACCCTAGCTGCAGAAATAACTCAGAGCCAGAAGATTCCAACTGGAGATACTTGGCACAAACAGAACACTAGAATGGGCAACAAAAACATAGTTGCTGGAAAAGCTCAGCAGGTCTGGCAGCATCTGTGAACACTTCAGTTCTGAGGAAGGGTCACTGGACCCAAAACGTTAACTCTGCTTTTTCCTTCACAGGTGCTGCCAGACCTGCTGAGCTTTTCCAGCAACTTTATTTTTGTTCCTGATTTACAGCATCCGCAGTTCTTTCAGTTTTTGCCAGAATGGGCAAAGTTGATAGAAATCAATGGGAATCCGGGGGAGGGGGGGCAAACTCTCTGCTGGTTGGAGTCATACCTGGCACATAGGAAGATGGTTGTGGTTGTTGCAGGTCTGTAATCTCAGCTCCAGGACGTCTCTGGAGGAGTTCCTCTGAGTAGTGTCCTAGGCCCAACCAATCTGCTGTTTCATCAGTAAACTTCCCTCCATCAGAAGGTCAGAAGTGAGATCGTTTGTCAACAAGAACACAAAATTCAGCAGCATTCACAACCCCTCAGATACTGAAGCAGTTCAAGACCAAATGCAACAAGACCTGGACAATATCCTGGCTTGGGTTGACAAGTATCAAATAACATTCACAGCACACGTGTACCACGTTCTATGGAATGGACTGATGTAAATTGACAAACAGTTCCCATCACTGGAAATCTTCAAGAACAGTCTCTAGATTACTTCCAAATGTAAGTTCTCATCACAAAGACAATCACCTCAGCTAGTCAGGCCTGGCTTTGCAAGACCTACCCAGATAAATGTTGGAGGAAAGTGGGTTTAATTCGTGATGAAAATACAATGAAAGCAGAAGGCAGTCAGCATCTCAAGCAACGGAGAATCTAACTACCATCCCTTAACATTCAATAGCATTACCATCATTAATCCCCACTAGCAACATTCTGGGGGGTTACCATTGACCAGAAACTGAACTGGACTTCCCGTATAAATACAACAGCAGACTACAATACCGCAGCAACTAACACACTTCCTTACTCTCCAATGCTTGTCCACCATCTACAAGGCACAAGTCAGGAGTGTGATGGAATAATCCCACTTGCCTGGATGGGTGCAGCTCCTACAACACTCAAGAAGTTTGACAACACTGAGGACAAGTGGCCTGCTTGATTGGTACCAACCACATCCACAAACATGCACTCCCTCCATTACCAATGGTCAGTAGCTGCAGTGTTTACCATCTACAAGATGCACTGTACAGATTCATCAAGGATCCTAGGACAGCACCTTCCAAACCCACAACCACCACCATCCAGAAGGACTAGGACAGCAGATACATGGGAACATCACCGCTTCAAGCCACTCATCATCCTAACTTGGAAATCACCATTCTTTCATTGTCCCTGGGACAAAATCCTGGAATTCCCTCCCTAACAGCCTTGAGAGTCAACCTACAGCACATGCGCTGCAACAGTTCAAGAAGGCAGCTCACCACAAGGGCTTCTCAAGTGCAACTAGTTTTGGGCAATGAATGCTGGCCCAGCTAGTGATGCCACTATCCCATGAATACAAATGAAGTACTTTTTCTAGAGTGAGATTAGAGGGAGTCCAATGCAGATCTGTACTTTGAACATAACTGAAAGAATTTGCATTGAATACCTTCAGGTTCAGGTACAAAATAAACCAGACACTGCACAGCTTCATCACATACACATGAATCACAACTCAGAGGAGCTGCCTGATTGCTGCCATGAGACATTTTTGGACTTCCTATGTTATCCTTTTATTCTCTGGAAGAAATGACTGACTGAGTCTTCCTAACATCGAGCAGAATCGAGCTTACTGCCACAGAAAATGATGGCCATTGTTCTAGATTTTCATCCTGAACTTTGGCATAACAGAAGAAAAGCAGTTTTCGACATCATTTGGACCAAATGGCAGTGGCCACTCTGTCACCATCCTCATGCTAGAACACTCACTGAGAACCGCAATCGCAACCTGAATGCTCTTCATTGTGTCAAAAAAGGTTGGATCATCCAATTATCGCTCACTATAAGGAGACCCATCATTCAGGTGGCAGATGCAAACCCCCACCTAGTCTAGTCTTAGCAAAGATGGATTAACGTGACATGATTTAGAACAGGGTTTGGAGATAGGAGGACTGACACGTCCCTCCAGCCCAGACCTCACCGTGAAACTGTACTCACCCAACCAGCCCAGTGTTGAACACGACCTCTCCTGCCGTTGAGTGGGGATAACCAAAGGACACGCCTTTCATTTTCGTTCCATCATCAAGGATCACATGTGCCGTCTGTGCCTAGAAAGAGCCGAGGATTTTTGTTAGTCTGTGCACAGGATGTGGGATATGTGAAACACCAAATGCAGACATTGCCCTGTGCTGTGTCGAGTCACCCAAGATGGCGCCACATTTGTTTCCTGGCCTGTCTCATTGCAAACCTGAGCCCCACACACACACAGACTGCAGGGCACAGAACGCAAACACCCAGGCAGGAAAACTGCTAACGCCAGCCAAACAGACCTGTGGTCTGAATCGTATACTTCAACATGGGGGAGCATTTTCAAGGATTGCTGAGCTTTTTTTTACTGGTGCAGCACTATCACTTGAATTTCACAGAAGCTCCTCAAAATCTCAGAATCGTCAACTCCGCTTTTCGATATTGCCAATACCTGTATCTCATCCCCAACTGCATCATGACACACATTTAAATTTTAAAGGATTGGATTTCATCTGCCCAGTCTGATAGCAGATGATGACTAGACTGCACTCAAAAAGGTACCATCCTCATGTTTGCCGCTGTTCCAAAGTCAGAATATCCCACTCCTGCAAGCAGTGCAAAGGCGGTAGGAAAACAGCAGATAATTAGGAGGTTAGCATTGGCAGGGAATAGTGGAGACCAGTCATGTTCTGCCAAGAAGTTCTGGGTGGCAAGGCCCAAACTCAAACTTAGCACCCTGCCATCAATTGAGACCCTTAAGTAGTCTATTAACACCTAAGGGCTTTGTCCTTCCTGGGCTGTAATTACTCCAGCTCAAGTTCTGATGAGAAAGAGTCAGCCTACCCAATTGGTAAATTTGTTTGGTGTCAGGGAAGGGAGGGTTTCATGAAACAAAAACAAATAACTGAAGAAACTCTGCTAGTCTTGCAGCATCTATGCTATTAACATTGAGTTTGATGATTCATTCAAGTTAAGTCACTGGGCTTAAAACATAACCTCTGCTTTCTTCCCAAAGAGGGAGTTTCTCCAGCGATATCTGTTTTGGTGTCAGATCTCCAGCATTCGCAGTTCTTTGTTTTATTGGAGGGTTGTATGATCTGCTTGTGCACAAGCAAAGGTTTAATCTAAGGCAGTCTCTAAGAGCTAACACCCTATGCCTGCTCTTGCTTTTGACCTCTCTTCCCCTCACCTCTGCTCCCCATGAATCCCAAACCAAAAAAACACCCCCAAAACAACACTTACCTTTTTCCCATTGATCCCCCACTTGGGTCTCTTAGGGGATGGGGTGAGGAGGGGGAGAGGTGGTTATTGTCCTGCCAACAGCCATGGCTTCTGCCAAGTTCTGGAGATGCCAGTAGCTCCAGATTAGAGGGATTTTCTGCCCAGGCAGAAGAAGGCTAAGGAAGAAAGTTCGCCGCCAACAGTCAAACAGCCCTTGGTGGGTAGGTGATCCAGTAGGTTCTCTGACCAAGGTAGGCCATAGTTTTCTCTCTAGGAAACCCTCTCATTTCCAGACTCAATCCAAAAACAGGAAGATCCCATCCTTTGATTTGGTTTTAGAAAACTTTGAAACATTACTCTATGTTCCAATATGCAAGTCATTGAAAGATTTAAAATTAATAAGTGGTCCAAGAAAGACCCTTGGGAAACACCACTGTTCTTATCCTCCAATCTGAGAAAAGAACTGTTAACTAAAACTTTCTGTTTATTATCCTAAAGTCAATCTTTTACCCAAGCTGATACTCGTCATATTCCACAAAGCTCAATTATCAATTGTTTATATATTATTTTGGTAAATACTGGTGAACTTTCATTACACTCCCTTTATAGCAACCAAACCCATATTCCAGATGCAGGTTCACCAAACTCCTACACAACTGAAGCAAGACGTCACTACTCCTGAACTCAAATCCTCTTGTAATAAAGACCAGCATTTCATTAGCCTTCCTAACAACTTGCTGCACCTGCATGATAGTTTTCAGTGACTTATTGACAAGGACACCTAGGTCCACTTACCATATAAGAAATACTCTGCACATCTGTTCCTCCTACCTAAGTGGATAACCTCATATTTTTCCACATTATATGCCAAATGCCAATACTCCCCTTTCATATTAATTGCTATGTTTTTCTTTGTCAGTTTTATTTTTCTCTTCACTTACCCTCAGCCTGATACTTTTGACGTGGTTGTCACTTGAAGAATTCACCTGACATGCATCATACAGCATCTTTCAGTGTTTCATCGTATTCTCCATTTCTCTCACCATCCCAGGAGCTCTCTCTATATTTCATTTTTGTTGAAATGTACCCAGACTGTACTTCTCCTTAAAGATCACCCATTGTTCTGTTAGAAATCTTCCCGTCAGTCTCCAGTTCCATTTTACCCTGGCTAGATTCCTTCTCATCCGATTGAAGTAATCTCTCAATTTGAAGACAGCCTTGCTTTCTCCACTACAGAACTAAAACTTATCGTGTAATGATTACTCCTTTCCAAGTGTTCCCCAAAACACTTGGTTCACTCACTCCACCTCATTCCCCAGCACCAGATCCAGTAAAGTCTCCTTCCTTGTTGTACCAATTATATATTCATTAAGAGCATTCTCCTGAACACATTTCAGAAAGTCCTCTCCCATTTTAGTCTTTACATTATCCCAATTAAGAACTGGGTAATTAAGCTCCCAGTATCAGCACTATATAAGTTCTTGGTCGTCTGAGATTTCAGACAGATTTGTTCCTTGATGTCTCGCTCACTTGTTGGAAGCATACAGATTACCCCAGTAGCGTAATCATCCTCATTTTGTTTCTCATTGCTGACTGAAAGGATTCTGCCCCTGCCCTCTCAAGACATTCCCTCTTTCCAAATTCAAAATGCCTTCCACAGTTAGTACTGCCACAGTTCCCTCCTCTTTCCCTCCTGTGTCTCTTCTGAAAACTTGACACCGAAGTGATACATTTCGAAACCAGGGCAGTGAGTGCTTGGAGGGTATCATGCATGTGATCATGTTCCCATGCATCTGCTGCCCTTGTCCTTCCAGATGGAAGTGATCTTGAGTTTGGAAGATGCTGCTCAAGGAACCTTGGTGAATTTCTGTAGTGCATCTTGTAGAAAGTATGCACTGTTACTACTGAGCATCGGTGGTAGTAGGAATAGATGCTTGCGGATGTGATGCCAATCAAATGGGCTGCTTTGTCCTGAATAGGGGCAAAGGCCTGGAGTGTAGTTGGTGCTGCTCCTCTCCTTTATAAGCACTAGTGAAAGTTCAAGCAGTGAGTTTCTAAATTCCTGAGTAATTTAGTCTCATTTTCTACATTTATTCCCTTTTTATTTTTTCGCTTACAATTTCCACTTTTCTTGGCCTAAGGTACTCCAATCCTGAGGCTTACTAATATTCTTTGCAACACTATAATCCTCTTCATTTAAATCTAATTCTATTTTAACTTAACCTTGTGAGATATGCTGGATCCTTCTCATTGTGTTTTTGTTTTGTTTTAATGCATTCTTTTTGAACAGTTTGATCATCTCTTTATTGTCTCTGTTGGCCAATTTATCTAATCAACCAAAGCCATCTATCCCCTCACAATAAACAATTTGTGGTGTAGTGGTAATATCACTGGACTAGACATCCAGTAATCACTAAAGTTCTGAGGGGTATGGGTCCAAATCATATAAATGGAAGGTAGAGGAAAATTCAGTTCAATAACAAAAACTCTGGAATAAGCATGCTCTTTAGTGTGTCACCGTGATCATATAGGGGTTAGTACTCTGTGTTGTGGCTGCATCAACCTTGGTTCAAATCCGAATCACGGCAGTGGGTGATTGTTGCATTTTTTGCGCAGCTTGGTGGTTCAGTGGTTAGCACTGCTGCCTCACAGCGCCAGGGACCCAGGTTCGATTCCACCCTCGGGCAACTGTCTGTGTGGAGATTGCACATTCTCCTCGTGTCTGTGTGGGTTTCCTCCGGGTGCTCCGGTTTCCTCCCACTTTCCAAAGATGTGCAGGCTAGGTGAATTGGCCATGCTAAATTGCCCATAATGTTCAGGGATGTGTAGATTAGGTGGGTTATAGGGATGGGTCTGGGTGGGATGTCTGAGGTCCGGTATGGATTTGTTGGGCCAAAGGGCCTGTTTCCACACTCTAGGGATTCTATGATAAAATATGTAACTGGCTTTAAATTTAATATTCTTGCCTTGAGCTCAAGCATGTTGCCTGCAAATGTAATATGGAATTCAAGTATATTATGATCAAGTTTTCCCCCAAGAACTAGAAGATGGTTAATTAACAATGCTTCATTGCAAAATGCTAGACCAAACAGATCTTTACTTACTCGTTGGTTCCACAATGTATTGTTCTTGTTTAACACCTTTCTGGTGCCATAACAACTGCTTGGGGCTCATTAATTACTGCCAGCAATGTTCTCTGACCCGAGTTATGTGGTGTTCAGATGTCACAGGGAGAATCTCAGTGTCCATTTACTGGTTCCATTTATCAGGTTCATTATATGCACCAAAATGATTGGGGTAAGTTCCTGGAATTTGATCTGACTCAGCTTCAGAGTCCTTTAATGCCTTTTTTAAGATTGATCTCTTCCCCAAAAGCCATGATGCAGGCAGATAGGGTGAAGATTGAGATGCCACTACTTCACCCTGATGTACTTATGAATTGCCCAGGCAGAAAATGATAGAAAAGAAAACAAAGAACTGTGGAGGCTAGAAATTCAGAAACAGAAACAGAAATTGCTAGGAAAGGTCACAGATTTAGTAGCATCTATGGAGAGAAAGTAGAGTTCTAAAGAAGGGTCACTAGACATGAAATGTTAACTCTGCTTTCTCTCCACAGAATGTGAAAAACATGTACCACCCATCTGCTCATTGGATACTACATCAATGTAAATCAGATAGAGCCAAAGATAAATCAATGTTACCATTAGGCACAGGATAAAAACGCCATGTACCCATTACTGAGATAGCACACTGGAAATCAAGACCCAGTATTTCCACTGCCTTCACAAAAGTTACACAAAGTATGCAGAATTCCCCAACTTTCCTGTCTTTTTATATCCAGGTTGACAGAATGGACCAG